TACAGATGGGTTGCTGGATCAGGCTGATTAAACGAAGAAATGCTCAGACCAAAGAAAGAAAGAAATGTGCGCGAAAGGAAAACTTTAAGGGTCTAATCTAAATGCTGTTAACGTTGTGGTGGCCAGTGGAGCTGGCAGCAGATTCGGATAGTGAAGAGGTTTGGGGAGGAAGATGGGCCAGTCCTGGAGTCTGGGGAAGGCTCTGATGAGGGCTCTGTGTCAGAGGCAGAGAGGGGGCCAGAGCCGTATGCCAGCTATCAGCTGCTTTCAGGGTCAAATATCGGTGAGGCAGAAGAACAGCTGGAGCCTGTTCCCAGTGTGCCCATGCGCAGAGCTGCCGGAACAAAAGAACAGCTCAGAAATCAGGGTCGACTTGGGAGTAAAGCCACTGGTGGACAGTGAATGGCCCCTCCCATGGGACATAAAAGAGGAGCGAAAGGGGATGGGCTTTTGCAGGAAACAATTTGTTCATTCGTTAGATTTGTTTCAGGAGTGTGAAGATCTGTCCGTGAATCTCAGAGACTCCATGCCCAGCCTTTCCTTGCACAGCACCTCATTTGGGAAAATATTTCCATGGCAGCATTCCAAGCTAGATAAGGTCTGTGGTCATAAATATTCCTTTGAAAGACTGTTTGCCAGGCCTTGGCTGAAGGTGAATGGGAGGAATTCACATTCGCTTAATTAAAGGGGTTTTGTCGGGACCAGGACTCTGCTTCGTACTTTTGGGGGAAGCCTCGGTCAGAACAGCCATTTTAAGACTTGTGGACTTCCACCCCATCCCCCCATCCCCCATAATTCCTCAGCCAGCATGGAGTTGAAGTCCACAGGTCTTAAAGTTGCCAAGTTTGGAGGCCCCCGCTTTCTACACGAGGAAGGACACGCCTGCAATTCCAGCCAGAAGCGCACAGTAACACAAAAAGGCAAAATTAAAAAGGCGGTTTGTTTCATGCTGCTCGCTCCTCGTCCTACGGGCCACTCCTAACCACGCAGATGTGTCCTTCGGCTTTTTGAAAAATTAATAATAATAATCATAATAATATTAACAATACTAACAATCCATGCCATTTTGGCTCTTAACAAAAGCAACCTGATAACTCGTACACTGTACAGTACTTCTGTTTCTTGCATGTTTCGTTCCAGTTACTTTTCTTGGACTCGAAATGAAATGCCTCGATTTCACCATTTTTTTGGTATCTAATGCCTCGTGGGCCACAATCCACATTTTTTGGGACAGAGAGGACCGCTGGTTTGGAAGTAGGGGTCCAGGAGGCCATCCGTGTCAAAACTGAACGGCCCTCGCTCAACAGAGGAGGAGGGATACGAC